GGTCATGACCTGAGCCAAAATCAAGAGTCAGACACTTAACCCACTGAGCCACCCAGGCACCCCTCAGAGCGAAATTTCTTAAGCAATTTTGCTTTGTTTACATGAGTGAAGAAAAATACTATTCATTTAAAACACACATACACTTTTTAGAAGGATGGAGTTCTAACCCTTTCTTAGTTTAGCACTCACGTCTAGAACACCTCTTATCTAATCTCTAGTTATTTGCATTTTTAGCCCTTTGTCAAGATGATCAAGATAAGTTATGAATCAGAAATGTTTTGCTTTTAATTGCCCATATTGTCCATGTGAATGCCACTTTTAATTACCATCTGTTTCCCTTTTTGCTGTTTTATCCACGGGGTCTAGTAAACTGTTTTCTATTATCAAAAATAAGTCAGGTGACAAGGCTCAGAAATTATTTGTGGAAGAATACACATCTCTAATCTGAATAAGAGAGGAATACCTTAAAATAAATATTCCAGGTGTGAAACTTAGGCACTGTAGCAGGTGCAAATTCCCACCTCAGTTTTTAAGTTTGTAAACTTCAGAAGGACTGGAAGAAGTTTCTGTATGATAGAAATAAGGATCTTTGAATTTTGTTTAGATATTCCTTTGTGTTTTTGGCAGTTTTACAGGCAAAACAGTATAGTTTATATAAGGAAAAATAACATGGAAAAATGATTTAATAGCGTGACAGGATACATGAAGAGAACTTCAAAAGCTCCTGACAGCTGTGGAGGGTGAGCTCATATTTTGTGGAATGTAGCAGGGAAGACAGGTGAGCACAAACCTCAAATTTCCCACATGTGAGATACCTGGGAGGTCTACACACTACTGTGGGAAGCGATGATTTAAGGAAGGAAAACTTTAACTAGACACACATCAATGAGGGAACCAATATTGATAAAATAAAAAGGAATCTCAAGGAATGTGGATATCACTTCCAAGAATTTTGTTCACATTCACTTAATTGATTTTTACTTTGTTTCTCATTAGATGTTTTGTTTTTGCATTCATTTGCCTAGAGCCATACCACCCTGGATTGTGATCTCCTTAGATGTTATGAGACTGAGCAAAGTTTAGTCCAGAGTTAAGTTGTGGGGGAAAAAAAGACCACCTAGGAGAGTTGTGCATGTGATCACTTAACTCTAGAGTTACTGATGCAGTAAGAAATCCACGAAATAATATGGGTTCTTAAACTGAGACACCCCTGCCAAAATCTGAAATTGACATAGGGAAGGTTGGAAAACAGTTTTATAACTTTTGATGACTATTGTCTTATTTATCTTAATCTTCATTTGATGTTTATATTACTGGATACTATTTGATTGAGGAAATCAAGAGATAACATTTGTTGATAGCTGTTAGATGCCTAGCACTGGGGGACTATGTAGCTTACGTGAGTACCTCATTTACACTCAACATAACCCTCTTGAAGACGTACGTGTTATTTACTCCTATTTCGCACATGAGGAAACTGAGGCTCAAGGATGCCAAATATATTAATAGAGAGCTTGGACAGGAAGAGAAGGGACAAAAGTGTAGGGCTGGTGAATAAGAGCCTATGAAAGAGTGCCAATAGTTTTAAAGGGGTCTAATGATATTAAAGTGTCTTAAGTGTTAACTTTTAGGTTGCAGGGTTAGGCTAAAATAAAGCCCCATTATTGGACAAAATGTGCTTCAAACTGTTGGTACTCTTTGAAGGGATGTGGCAGCTTTTTCATCATAAAGGGATAGAGACCCCAGGATTTATGCCAATCTCCAATTTATCTAAAAGTCCTCCCACAATTTCAACATGCTACCAGCACTGACTGTGAATGAGTATGGCTATGAAAATACATAAAGTATGGCTGTGCCATTAATCAGGTGCGATCTTTCAAAGCATCATAAATTACAGTGATCAATGCCAAGTCTCATCTTGATGACTTGGGGACTAAACCCATGGATCAGACTGACAGAGACAAATAAGAAACTAAATAGGGATGTGACAGTCTGTTAGAGGTAGAAGCTACTTGTTAGATTTTCAGACATGTCATTTGTGAAAGATGGTGGATAATTTGAAACTCTGTGTGCCCCTCATCTATGATTCCTTATGCTTATAAGTGGAATTTTGTGCCATTCTTTGCAGATTTTATTTTGGTTTGAAATAAAAATATCAGTATCCAAGTAATTATTATCAAAACATATGTTACTTCTGCCCAAATTTCAAATGAATTTAAATTAAAAGTAAAAAAAATCTATATTTCCCTTTTTTTGTGGGATTGTACTTAGAGATTCAATGAGAAATTGTAGATTGATTTCTTAAAAAATATTTTTTTTCTGACAATGTAATACTGTTGGTAACTGAAACTTGAAAAATTAGTAACAATATGAACAAAAATATATGTCTGCATTTTCATTGTCACTATAATACTTGCAAGTGTTGTTACAGATATTACAATAATTTTAAAATTCAAAAAAATATATTTATTAAAAAGTAACAGAATATAATCTGTGGTAGTTGTCAGATGTTTTCCCCGTGATACTCCATATTACTTGGAGCATCAGTGTTTAAAAAAACAGAAGCCACTCTATGTGTCTTTGATAATTGAATGAGAGGCATCCATAATTGTGGGACACCAAGGAAGGAAAGGCATGAACTCACTTAGCTTGCATAATGGGAAGTGGTGGATCTCTGAGTTTACGTTGGAGCTTCTACAGAACTCAGGAATGTCCAGGTGTCTAGCACAGCCAGCTGCACTGAAGTGAGTGATTCCCAAGAAGCCTCATCAGTTCTCACAGCTTCTTGGAACACTTAAGTGGATACTTTGCAGAAGTTCACCCTGAAGTTCCTGCAAACTCCACATCTGATATCTTGAGCATGATCTGCCTCCAGTGAATAATATTTTCATCCCTTTCATTTTCCAAAGCTCACATAAGTGACTGCCAGTGGTAGAATCTAACCCTACAGGAAAGCATGCAGGAAGAAGGATTCTGGGGAATGTGTTACTAGTCTCTTCGATAGTGCTGAGGAGGTCACTGAAGGTAATGGCAGTGATGTTGACAACAGTGAATCCAGCACAGTTCAGTCATCTCATCATCCTATGATATTATTTTACCCATATTTAAACTTCTGACTTCTCACCACCACCACCAAACCATGATTTTAATGTTACGTACCCATGCGTATCCCTCATATGACTGAAACCATGATCACCTTCTCTAGAATAAGGAAGGATACAAAGTCCCATGTGTTATGATACCCATCTCTAGGTGATATTCAAACCTTTATTAGCCAAGTCAAATCCCTTTATTTTTATTTTAGTTTTTTTGAGAGAGAGAGTACACGTTCATGAGCAGGGGGGTGGGGCAAGGGCAGAGGGAAAAGAAGAAAGAGAATCTCAAGCAGGTTGCATGCCCAGTGTGGAGCCCTGTGCGGGGCTCCATCTCACAACCCGAGATCATGACCTGAGCTGAAATCAAGAGTCGGATATCTAACTGACTGAGCCACCCGGGTGCCCCTCTAATCCCTCTTTTACATCCTGTAATTTAAAGACCAAATAACAGGGTTAGAAGAATGAATACACAATATGTTAGAAAGTAATATGTTAGAAAGTAGGGTAGTAGACTTGTGTGTGTACTTCATACTGATCGAGAGGGTCTATAAGTAGATCTGATGAAGAGACATCAACCATTACCGGAGATTCTGAACTTTGATCTTGAAGCTGTGATCACGTGGGTTATTTCCTTTGGGGTTGGTTAATGTATTTGCATGCAGGAAGGGGAGTGAACCACTTATTCTGTAACCAGAAAGCAGGCTTTTTAGTCATTAGAACTTCTTATCAAATGTTTCTGGTCCACCTGAACAAGTAGTAAGTTCGCTTTTCGCCCATGCTTATAAATAGCTATGGTCATGTGACTTGTTTTGAACAATGAAATGTGAGCAGAAATGACATACTTGTAAGCTCTAAAGGTCAGTGCAAGACTTACCATGCACTCTCTCTCCCATACCTACAGGCAGTATTACAAATACCAGCTGTTTCATGAGGATGATGAGGCTCTGATCCTCAGAGCCTACCTAGGCTCTGATGGGCAAAAATGTGTGGGAAAGGGGCGCTTGGGTGACGCAGTTGGTTAAGCATCTGACTCTTGGTTTCAGCTGGGGTTGTGCTCTCAGGGTCATAGGACCAAGCCCCATGTCGGGCACCGTACTTGGTGTGAGTCTGCTTGGGATTCTCTCTTCCTCTGCCCCTCCCACTCATTCTCTCTCTCTCTCTCTCTCTCTCTCTGTCTAAGATGGATGAATGAATCTTTTAAAAAAATGTGTGGGGAAAAAGCCAGGATAATGATTATAGACAACAATATTATAAATATCAACTTTGCTGAAAGATTAGATCTTAATTAGTCCCACCACAAAAAAATAATTATGTGACATGATAAAGATGCTAGCTAATGCTATAATGGCAGTCATATTACAATATATAAATATATCAAATATGATAATATCAAATGAAAGCTAGGATTAGGAACTATCACATTTCCAAGGAGATCCTTTCAAGAGTAGAGCAGGGCAGCTACCTCCTTTCCCTGTATAAGTAGAGAAAAATATGTCTTCCTCATTGTTATAGACCTTAAACTTGCACAATGTTGTATGTTATATATATTTCAGTAAAAATGAAAAATGTGTGGAAGAAACACAGAAACTTTTACTGTGTTAACCAACTGATACTTAGGGATTTTTATTACTGCAGCCTAACAAATCCCATTCTGAATAATACATCCACTATTAAATCTGAAAAGAAATAACAGTATCAAGTTTTAAGGTTCAAAAGTTGTCCAATATTTGGAATGCAAAACATACTAGAAAATGACCTTAACATTTAATGCAGCTTAGCAAATAGAAGGGTATTGAACTGGTTTAATATTTTTGTGATTATATTAAGGTTTATTATATAGCATATAACTTTTCATAAAATGTCATCTCAGTCGGGATTATGGGATGTGGAGGGTTAGCAACTCACCATGCTGATGATTTGTCTACATAATATTTGGAAGTGCCCATTTTCTTTCCTGAGGCTTACAAAGATGGTCTGAACTGGTCCATTAGTCAGCATATGCCTGGCCCCGTTCCAGGCGCTTGTAGATATCTTATTCACTTCTCAAAATGAAGTATATCTTTATGACAGCATTTCAGAGAATCCAAAGTATTCTTGATTCTTCAAAATGAGGGTGTATAGGTCAGATTAATGCAATGACTTGCCTGGGAGAAATATATTGCAATGAAATAAACGAGGAGACACCCAAAGCGTCAGTCTTAGTTTTTAATAGCTGTGTTACTTGGCTCAAATACTTAAGTTTTGAATTCTAATTTTATCTTATAAATATTGAGGATAATAATAACTACCCCATAAATTTGTTGTGAGGTTTGATCAATGTGTCAAACCATAGTGGTTACTCAAGATATAAGGTGGGTTTTTAATATTTACCTTTCAAATTTTTATCCTGAATATGCATATGAGATAGTTTGGATCATAGATTTCTTAGTAATTACTTCACAGTAAATAATAAGTATGTCCACCCCCCCTTGCCCACAGCTTATCACTAGAGCAACATGATGAGAGTCAATGGGAATTTCTCCCATATGAGTGGCTAGATAGTCTATAGGCAAGCAATGAGGAAGACATATTTTTCTCTCCTTATACAGGGAGAGGAGGTAGCTGCCCTGCTCTACTCTTGAAAGGATCTCCTTGGAAATGTGATGGTTCCTAATCCTAGCTTTCATTTGATATTATCATTGACCAAATCATTTGGTATATTTGGTGTACACATGTATTTATATCAGTTGAATTTTGCAATATATAAAAGTCAATTTCTCAAAAAAAAGAATGGCTGATTTTCCCAGTGTTCTCCAGGAATAGAAAGCCTTCAATCACCCAAATTCTGTGTCACCAACTTTTCCTTCTAAGAATCCTATTAACTCTGCTGTTTGGCAGAATTAAAAAAAAATAAATAAAAAAGTTTTGGGCAGCTGACAATGTCCAGAAGGTAGTGACGTGTGGCCATGGCACAGGGCAGTAGCTGCAAGATGTTTTCTTCTGAAACTAACTAGAAAGTCATGGAGCATGAAAAACCCTTTTCTAGACAATGTGAAATGAAACAGGAAAATACACTCCAATTACTGTCCTACATAAATATCCAAAGGGAACAAAGAGCATCAGTCAGGAGGCTATTGTCTCCCTAATTATGTTCCAAATTGGAAATGGCAACTTGTTTTCTTCCTCACATAATAGTTCTCTAAATAAATTGTCTTCTCCCGCTGTCTGCTGCTCTCTTGAGGATTTGGTTATTTAGAGATAAAGAAGAACTCGCAGTTGTGAAAAACATGGGTTATGAGCCAGCTCCCTGCCTGAGAGAGAAAATGGAAATGAACACTGGGGTTATGACATGTTGAAAGTCAAATACATTTTAGCAATTCATTTGTTGTTATTTGGGTCCTAGGGAAGCCTTTTATAAATTTTACATATATATCTTTTGACTGTTAGAATACTGACTTAGCACACTGCAATGAAGGGCTTGCTTCTTGAAAATCACATACAGAATATTTGATAATGTCTCCATCTTAAAGTGTTGTGGTAGCTCTTCAAAATAAGAGTTTACCTGATGGGGATTTAAGAGAAAAACTTTCTTCTCCCTCTGACCCTACCCCCTCTCATGTGCTCTCTTTCTCTTTCAAATAAATAAATAAATAAATCTTAAAAAAAAAAAATTAGGGGCACCTGGGTGGCTCAGTTGGTTAAGCGACTGCCTTCAGCTCAGGTCATGATCTTGGAGTCCTGGGATCGAGTCCCGTATCAGGCTCCCTGCTCAGCGGGGAGTCTGCTTCTCCCTCTGACCCTCCCCCCTCTCATGTGTTCTCTCTCTCTCTCTCCTCTCTCTTTCAAATAAATAAATAAATAAATAAATAAATCTTTAAAAAAAAGAAAAACTTTCACTAGTATTAGTTCATCTTTATCATATACTTATGTTTTCTTTCTGTATAGTTTTTTATAAAGAAATATGTATTGTCTTCAGAAAGTTTTCAGAATTCATCCTTAAAACTTAATCCTGATTTTTTTCTTAGCGGCTTTCTCTATGAAGTACTTATATGATTTTTTTTTTAACTTTTTTTTATTTATTTATTTGACACAGAGAGAGACAGCACAGCAGGGGGAGTGGCAGGCAGAGGCAGAGGGAGAAGCAGGCTCCCCGCCGAGCAGGGAGCCCGATGTGGGACTCGATCCCAGGACCCTGGGATCATGACCTGAGCCGAAGGCAGACGCTTAACCATCTGAGCCACCCAGGCGCCCTATATGATTTTTTTTGAAGACAATATTACTGTGTTTAAGCTTTGTTAGTGAAGTATCATCTCAACTGTACGGTGAAAACTTCAGGGGTGGATTTTGCATGGATAATCTATCCCAAGTTTACTTGCTTATTTGTTAGATTTTTGGTCCTATATTCACAGAATCTACTTTTATTCTTTTTTTTTTAAAGATTTATTTATTTATTTGAGAGAGCGAGAATGAGAGAGAGAGAGTACATGACGGGGGGGAGGGTCAGAGGGAGAAGCTGACTCCCCGCCAAGCAGGGAGCCCGATGTGGGACTCCAGGATCATGACCTGAGCCGAAGGCAGTCGCTTAACCAACTGAGCCACCCAGGCGCCCTAATCTACTTTTATTCTTGAAAATGGTTATCAACTATTATTACCTTCTATGATTATAGCTAGGATATGAAATATTTATTATGGTCCAAAGTTAATTTTTTCTGAGTTCAACTGAAAGTGTTTTTAATTTCCTAAGAATTTAAACTGTTCATGTTTTTTGATGTATTGATATGTCCTTAGGTAGGTTTGTTTATTTTGTGTTCTAAATCTTTAAATCTTCTGTATCAAAAGCGATTTGTAGATAGTCGTTGGTAGATTTTTATCTTCGTAATATCCTGTCTTTCAGTATAAATGATAACATAATGTTTTGACAAAGTGAAATCAAAAACTAAAGACATATCATAAAACACAAAGAAGTACAAGCCCAAGACACCTTTAAAAGAAAGTTACAGAAGCTTCATTCGCAAGGAAGGTGAGTATATCAGTGTCATTTTCCTGAGATAGATATAACATGGAATATATTGTGATAAGAAACTCAGTAATTGATCTAATGTGGTACTGTCAAATAGAAGAATACAAATAATAATTATATTATCAATTGAAAACCTTTCCTAATTCGGATTTTTTAAAACATATTTTCCTTTTTCTAAAGAATACCTGACTTCCACCCTTGATCAACCACAAGGACAGTTGTCAGGGCTTTGTTTATGTTGAAACATGTTTCCACATGAAAGTATAAAAGCTACGTATAAAAGCTACCTTTTTTATGCTGGCAGAGAGAATTCTATGTGTTAAGGACACTTCTTTTTTTTTTCTCTCCCCTCTGCGTATATACAATCCGAGAAGAAGAAAAGCTACAATCAGTTTAATACTGTGACTCTGTTCGATGGTTTTACCAGTAGGGGTCAGCAGAGAGGAAATAATTTGAGAGAAATAATGTTAATCTCCAGCAGGTTTGTCATCTTTACTCCTTTAAATTTCAGCCAGATTAGAGTGAAGAGTTCCAAGGGAGACAGTGGGTCAGCTACTGTCTTGGCACAAATAGACTGTGTACCCAACACAGAAGAAAAGAGAGCTCATCAAATGTTAAACATGAATTAGGTTTAGAAGTTTAACAACTGGAAAAAATGTCTGATCAACAATTTCAGAGTTATTAAGAATTAGCAAAATCATATTTGTCCCTCTCCTTCCCAGTTTCAGTTTTATCTTGAAATATAGCCTCTTTCCCCAATTTAGGCTTCTGTTTCTTTTTCTTTCTTTTTTTTTTTTTTTGACTATGTCTAACAAAGTACCCATTTTTCAAGTCCAGAGGGAAGATTTGGGTTTCTGGGCAATCTGTAACACTTTTTTAGGTAAAATTCTCTAGTTTCAATTCATGACTCATAAAGGAGAATGAATTGCTAAAGATAAATGGGAAGTATGGCTATTTTTTTGGAATTTGACATATTAAAACTGTACATGACCAGGTCGGAAGTAAGGAACAGTATTAAGAAACATCATTTTTGCTTGTAGGTGTTTTCAGTGTTCCAGAACAGGTCATAATACATTTACATATAGGGTGGGATGCATGAGAAACCCTCACTGTATAGTGATGACAGTTGAGATGAAATTCTCTTTCCATTTATTACTCCCAGATAAGGTATAACAATTATCTTATTATTCAGTGAGTATGTAATGACTTACTGTAGATAAGGCATGATGTTTTCATATGAAATTTTTGATCATCTTCACAACTGGTGAAACCTTTTTAGATATTATGTCCGTTTTACCTTAAACAATAACAACAAAAGAGATGAGCATTATCTTTCTCTGTTAAGCCAGGTATAATGCAAATAATTTGCCTGAAAATTGGACTAGGACGATGTTATTTGTTAGAAACTAGAGCACTATCTAAATTTTAATAAGAGTGGGTAAAATATCAGCAGGCCTAATAAGTACTGTAATGGTTATTGACAACTAATAAATGCCTCTTGAATTTCCCTATGGACTGATTTAATTCAGTTAGGGTAATACATAAATTTTCTTTCTTCTAGTCCATATGAATACTTAAGGCCAAATATTCGTGGAAACAATTAGACGATTCAGGATCATGCCTATATACACCTATATACACCTATATGTCTGTAAACACCGTAATGCCTCCTAATGGAAATGCACCTGGAGGGTCACCATAAATAATGTACTATATGTAATTGAAAAAATCCTTTTACGAAACAAGTCCAGTGAATTGATGCTAGATTTAGCTCTAGTTGAGAATGTACAAATTAAAATGAATAAATCGGAGAGTTCAGTGTTCAGTTCTTTGCTGAAATATACTTTCTGGTAGCATTTTAAATCATGACAGCAAACTCATGTGGAACTCTTTTCTGGTTTTCTTCACAGTGTATTGGTATAATAGATATGTGTACTTCTGATAAAAATGCAGACCTTAAACCTTTTGCTCACTAACCCTGACTATCAGTTGCTGTGCTATTTAGAAGTCACAAACCTTGCCTGTGCTGGAGACTTTTGAGAAAGATCTATTCAGATGTACTTTGGACCAAGAATGTTTTGGTTGATGAATCTGCTGTTTGTGTTCAGAAAATGGTTGTCTGTGTTAAGTTTATGATAGCAACCAGTGGTGATAAATCCACATCAGCTGATAAACATTTTTGCTATTAACAGGGTGGTTTTGATTTTTAGCTTTGTATGAAATGGACCTTTTTCCAGATATGTTTCTTAATATAATTAGTTAAATGTATATACAGCTCTGTGTGCATGTTGTGTTTGTGTGTAAGAGAGAGGCAGACATGAAAAGTTTTATACTCTCAAGAATGAGTTTTGGAAAAATTATCAAATTCATTCCATGTGCAGAATATGAAAAAACATAGGACAGATCAGGTTACTGCTTATATAATGTCATATGGGCTATGGATTAGCCTCTAACACAGTTGAAAACTGAAACAAAGTTTTGTGCTTGATGTTATCTGTGTAGATCTTCATATTTTTATGGATATATATTCATTAGCTTCAGATTCACATTTTATTTCAGAAGAGAAAATTGCAAATTGGTCTTTTTTATTTTTTTGGTCAGGTTAGCTAGATTTAAAAGGAGTTTTTGCAGAACATGGTCTGTAGTTGAATTGGAAAATCTATTCCAGCTTTCACATAAATGATAAATTAATCAATATTTGAAAAATTTCTGTTAGTTTGAGTTTTTATAAACTATACTGGGAAATGATATATAGTGTCTGAAACATGTTCTATATCACTTGTGATATAAAACTAATAGGATGGAAAATTACTTTGAGAAGAAAGTGAGTTCCACATTAGGTAATTGGCTCTTTTTATATAAAATTATTCAATAACTGAATGACAATTGGAGAATTCAGCATTTATGATGCTGAAATAATCTCTTTATATAAAAATTTTTATATTTAAGGAAGTGTATTTTTTACTATGTAATTGGAATATTTACATGGTGGCAAGAAGCATAAATTTATCTGAGGGTTTTTTAAAGTATATTTTATTGGGTATCTCACACATTATCAATTCAAAATATTTTAATTTTTATTGTCACTTTTCTTCCTGGTTTTATGAAAAATAAATTGTTTTCCAATACTAATTTTATCCTGAAATGTTAACAAGTTCAAGGAAGACAGGTTTTGAAATGTTTGGGCAAATACAACTTTAGAAAATTGGGTGTTCCTTGATAATGTACTAATTGTGTACCTCCCTAAAACAACTGTTTTAAGTTAAATTATTAATTGTATGAATTCTACATACATTGTATGTATATCTATTACCCATACTGAATTTTTATTCAGTGCAATTTTTTGGACAGTTAGTTGTCAGTAAATTTGCTTGGAAAATAGGTTGCACTAAGATTATAGTGGAATCTGTCCAGAGATTCTGGTCACAAGTGTGAGAAGCTCCCCCTCCCTTTCCTTTTAACCCTCCTTTCATTGCCTAGAGTTGATTACATAGTACTGAGCAACTGTCTTTAAGAGTAATCAACAGAATATTGACTCAGTTGATCTCCAAAGGAAGTACTTTAACTTCTGTACCTACCCAGTTCAGCTTCTTCCCTTCACCTCATTCTGGTTCCACTAGTAGTTGATGACAGCTTTCTGACCATCCTGCTATTAATTCATTCTCTCTCTTGTTGGCTGAAGTCTGTTTTTCCTGGCCAACCTGCTTCTTCTCTATTTCAGTCCTCTTCTCAACTCTCCTTTGATCTCTGTTAATTATTACTCTTTATTTTCCTTAAATCCCACCCCTCCTTCAGAATTAACCTTGGTTTATTTTGTCATAGTTTACTGCTTCAGCCTGGAATATGAATGTGCAAGCCAGTATTTTTTGCCTCATTATCTTCCATCTTAAATCCACTTATCACTCAATAACATTTTCCAGTTATCTAGCCCTAGGTATGAAGAACTTTCACTGTCTTTCCCAAAGCTGTGAGTATAAGTATTCACAAATAGCCCATGGGCACCAGAGAAATCCTAAATGGTAATAATAAATGGTTAATATATGTTTAGTGCTTACTTGTGCCAAGTCTAAACCAGGTAATTTATATGGATTTGCTCATATGATATCCCCCTTCCAACCACATCACGAAGTAGCTGCTACAATTATATCCAATTTATAGCCTAGAAAATTAAGACTTACCATGATCACCCAGTGAGGAATTGGCAGTCAATGTCTCAACCAAGATTATTGGTTTCCAGAAGCCACATACCTATAGGTAGGGCCTGGGCTCTACAGAGGCAGGGTATCTATTTAAGAGAGAGAGAGAGAGATTAAGATCTCCAAACTCTCTTATTGTTTTTAGGGATCCTTACTACATGACCACATCCAAATTCATGCTTCATTGAACAAATAATTATTGATCACCTACTATGTGTCGGCATTATTCTTGATATTGAAGAAAGCAGTGAGTAAAACTGACAAAGTCATGGATATCATGTTGTTTACATTCTCATGGGAGGGACAGATGATAAAAATATGTTATATATGATGGAAGTAAGTTCTATTAAAAAATAAAGCAGGGTAAAGGGAAAGAGTGTAATTGTGCAGGGGAATGATATTCTTCCTATTTGTCCTTTTTGATAAGGTGACATCTGAATAGAAACAAAAATAAAGTGAGGAGGTAAGCCCTGAAAATATCTAGGGAGAGAGAATGCCAGGTGGAAAAAGTAGTAGATGCAGAGATCCTGATGTAGATACACACTGCTTTGTGTTTGTAAGGATAAATAAGGAAGGAGGACCTCCAAGATGGATTAAAATGAGCAAGGAGGGGGAAGAATAACAGGAGGAGAGTTTAGAGAAGGATCGGGGACATAGGTCATAGTATGCTCTTCAGAATTTATTTGGGGTCTCAGGAAACCTCTGAATATATTTGTTGAGTTATCTGGATGTTGTGGGGAGAATCAGTGATAAGAAGTTATTATAAAATCCAAGTAAAAGATGCAGGTAGCTTAGGATAAAGTGGTGATGGAGTTGGTAGATAGATAGACAGATAGATGTATACAGGTATATATACACATTTATGTACATATTTTTAATTGAAATGTAATATACATATAGAAAAGCACATACATCATAGGTGTACAGCTGGATGAATTTTTTCCTGGGCACACTAGTGTAACCAGCTCTCAGATTAAGAAACAGAATATTGGAATCCTAGTAGCCCTCGCATTCTACATTCTAGTAGCATGCCATTCTTACCAAGAAGAAACACTGTTCTTACTTTTAGAATAAGGGTTGGCAAACTGTTTATGCAGAAGATCAGACAGTGAGTATTTTAGGCTATAAGGACCACAGGTAGTTTTTTTTACATATTATTTTCTCCAATTATTTTGATAGTAAAACTGTGTATAATTCTGTGTTAGAAATAATATATGCCATTACAATTTTGAGAGCCTTGCCCTTCTAATCTTCTACCTTCCAGAATATATAATTTTGAGTCCAAGATCTTTTTTTCCCAATTTGCAGGCCCTCATCATGGCACTTTTTGATCCAAAGATAAATGTTTCTTTTTCTAAAAATAAATGTTTTCTGTCCTACCCCTCATTCTTACCAATTAAAATAATGAGTGATCAAATGTTTTATAATCCAAATGCTATTCAAACATTGCTCTCATTTTGGGGGAATAAAGCAGTAGTTTTACTCAGTTTAGGTTGCTCAGATTTCACAGCAGTAACTTGGAGAACCAGATATCTCTAATGTTATGCCAGAGCCCATCCATTCCAGAACAATCTTGAATCCAGAAATATACTCTACTTAGAAACAGTATTTGGGCCTGGCTACCAAGACTCTTTTGGGTACTTAGAGGGATTCCCTAGAGAAATGGCAACACTCTCCAGGGAGACTAGTAACCATACCTATATGATATATTTGCTGCTCTCTCTCTCTCTTTATTTATTTATTTTTTGGCCTGGCAAATAATCTGAGTTCCAAGAATGTATGGGGACAATAACATTATTGTCAGGTGTCCCTATGACTGCAGGTCCAGTGATTTTTTCTATCTATCTATCTATCTATCTATCTATCTATCTATCTATCTATCTATCATCTATCTTTAATGTAAGCTCTACACCCAACATGGGGCTTGAACTCAGGACCCTGAGATCAAGAGTCACATAGCATAAACTATTTGGCATGGCCCAAGGGCCCAGATAAATGAAGACACTCTTGAGGCAGAAAATTCCAAAGACTGGGTTATCTTCCAGGAGCCAGTCAAGGACCAAAGCTTTGTTTGGAATGTGCAGGGCTTAGACCCTTAGACTCTAGACCTGCTGAGTCCATCTCTCCCTGTGTGAAGTTTACATCTAAATTTCAAACAAGGTATCTATCCATATATTTTCCAAGAAGGATGGAAATTGAAATTTGAAACTATAATTTTATCTCCTATATGAAAGTGCCTTTTTTCCCCTTTTGGTTGAAATTTATATTATCGAATGCTTTGTTATTGCAACATTTGAAGGCTAGAAAGCTGTATCAGTCACATTTGCTAGGCAGCACACAACCGCAAAATCTCTATGGCAAACACACAACACTGAACATTCATTTCTCTCTCATGAACTTGTGAATTGGCTGTAATTGGCTGTAATTGTTCTGTGTCTGTGAGTCAGGGCATCTCTGCTTCTTGTGTCTCATTTAAAGTACCCAACTGGGGGGGAAGCAGCTAGCTGGGGTTTGGTCTTCTCATGGCTATGACAGAATCACAAGAGGACAAGCCTAAGTGCCTAACCATATTTCAAGCCTCTACTTAGGTCACATCTGTTAATCATTGGCTAAAGTAAGTCACATGGGCAATACCAAAGTCTAGGGCTAGGGAAATACATGCCACTTACCATGAGGCTGTGGTAAAGGAATGGATGACTAATAATACTACAAGGGAGAGAATTGGGATGATATTGAATCTACCACAGAAGCTCTGGTAGAATAGAAAAATTCAGACTGGCTTTCAAACCCTGGCTTAGTGACTTAATTGTTCATTGTCTGGGTGTAGTCAACATTATCGTTCCTTGGTTTTCTCATCTGTAAAAAGGAAATCAAAATAATTACTTAGAGTTTTGTTGTGAGGATTAAAGATAACAGGGAAATGCCAAGCATAGTGGCCTGATAGTAGGTACACAACAATGGATAATAACATTGATAAAGACCCACTGGTTCCTATAAGGACAATAATAGCTTATATTTAAGAGTGTTTGTTGTATACATGGCGTTATTCTAAATACTTACATAATGGTTATTCTTTTTGTCAGCATTTTCTGGGTGAACAAGAGAAGCTGAGAAAAGTTAAGAAATATCCCCAGAGTTAGCTTTCATTTTGTTTCAAACCATTTCAAACCAAGTGGCTAAAAACAGCAATCGTTTATTTAGTTCATGATTTTATGAGCCAACTATTAGGAATGGGCTCAGCTAAATGGTTTTTCTGGATGCATCCAGATTCAGCCGTGTGTCTGTAGTTAGCTCTCTGGTTGGCTAGAACTACCTAGTCAAGAATGGACTTGGCTCTAATGGCTCGTTATTCTTCCATGAAGACTCCCATCCTCCAGCATGAGAGCCTGGGCTTATTTACCTGCTTCCTGGACAGGGTTCCAAGAGAAGAAGTGGAAAACTAAGCTGCTTGAGGCCTAGGCTTCTAACTGGTGCATCATCCCTTTTACTTCATTCTGTTGACCAAAGCAAGTCATAAGGCCAGCTCAGACTCAAAATAATTGGAAATAGAATGTATCTCTTAAGAGAGAAGCTTTATAGACACATTACAAAGAATATAGATACAAGGAAGAATGAAGGATTATGACCAGTTCTGGAATCTACCAGTCTGCCTCTGGCTACAATTTTCACATTCTTCCCCATGGAAAACATTCTCTTCTTTTTTTTTTTTTAAGATTTTTTTATTTATTTATTAGAGAGAGAGAGACAGCGAGAGAGGGAACACAAGCAGGGGGAGTGGGAGAGGGAGAAGCAGGCCTCCCGCGGAGCAGGGAGCCCGATGTGGGACTCAATCCCAGGACCCTGGGATCATGACCTGATCCGAAGGCAGACGCTTAACAACTGAGCCACCCAGGCGCCCAACATTCTCTTCTTTATTCAAAAATTCCTAAAAGTCACACATGAATTATGACATCATGTTTGAAATCTAGAATATAATTATGATATGTCCAAATGAAACTCATATATGGATCCCCTTGATCCTGAGACTCATGAAATGAAAAGTTATCCCACAAACATCCAGTGTACGATGTTGACACAGAAATAGAATAACTTCAATAAATACCATTCTAAAAGAGAAAAAAAAAAATCAGAGTTACATAGCAGTCATTGGTCCACAGCAATTTTAAATTCCAGGTGGGGTCTTGGAGTAGTAAGTATTCTTTGATTAAGGTGAGGTTATACTCCTTGGAAGTGGTTTCCCATTGTTCTTCATGGCTCTTGGTTCTACCTTCAGGGTTATTGACTGCCCTCTAGGACATCTTTCCTTTTTCAGTGTCCTTCATTAGCCCTATAAAATATTTTGTCAGCCAGCCCTAGAAATTTGGGAGCCTGGAGGCCTTTTTTTCCTCTTTAGAAACAGCAATAAGGGTAATAATAGCTTATAGTTTCATGTGAGTAAAATCATTCTCTTTTAATCCAGGTTGATGTCATTTTTACATATAAAATTTCTTCCAAATTACTGTAGATTATGAGTTTGATTTATGCCCACTCCATTTATTAAAAAGGTATACCCATGATTGTTTTCAAGACATGCCTCTCTATTGATAGGCTTATTTACTGTCACTTTGGGATTGGGCTTTTGTGAAACCATCTTCTTAAGAAATTGGGGAGTAGTTTTGTCTATTTGAGAGTCTGTTTGACAACATATTAATTCTTTCAGACTTCCTAAGAAAGGTTTTGGAGTTATACTCTTGAATGGATCTTTTTTCTTCAGTCCTCATTATACGTAGAAGATTTTTACTGACTGGGAAGACTGAAGATAAACAATTTTTTACATCCTAGAAAATTATGTCCCCTCTGTATTCCCTCAAAATTCTCCTTGCAGACTGGCCAGTTCTTTATTTAGCCCATTTCCTTCTTCCTGTACCTATATGTAGCTAGGACCAACCAGCTGACATTTCCACATTTTGTGGAGCTCTTTAGAGCCAAAATCCAAAGTTAATTATATACATTTGTCATCTTTCGTGTTCCTGTAGGTAATACTTTTGTTTATTATTTTATTCTAAGAAACACAGGTTATCATTTTTTCTTGGGGAGTGGGAGAGGGAGAAGCAGGCTTCCCACCGAGCAGGGAACCCAATGCAGGGCTCGATCCCAGGACCCTGGGATCATGACCCAAGCTGAAGGCAGTCACTTAATGACTGAAACACCCAGGGGCCCCAGATTACCATTTTTCTAACCTCCAATAACAATTTGCTTTATTTCCCCCAGCATTCGCAAAGAGTTTGTTTGCCATTTTTTCAGCCTTTACTTAGTACTCACTGCCAATGGCACTTATTTTAGATTTTTGTCATGGCAGCACCTCAATTCCAGGAACCAATTATTTCTGCATCAGTTAGTTTTTGCTGTTTAAAAAAAATCACAGAATTTAGTGGCTTAAAACAATAGCCTTTTTTTTTTTTTAAGTTTTTTAGCTCATAATCCTGCTGGTCATTAAATTGGGCTGGACTCAGTTGAACTGGTGTCTGCAGTCAGCTGCCAGGTCAGCTGGGGGCTGCTTAGTATAAAATGGCCTCAGCTAAGACTACTCATCTTGGACCATGTGTTCTCTCATCATCCAGCAGGATAGCCTGGGCTTGTTCTCATGGTGACTGCCTAGAGTTCCAAGAAATTGAATAAAGGCAAGCAGTCTTTGAGACCTCGAATTTCAACTGGTACACTTTCACTTCTGCTGTATTATGTTGACCAAAAGAAGATATAGGGCCAGCCAAGATTTAGGAGAAGGGAGAATAGACTTAGTTCTTGATGTGAAGAGGTGCAAAGTAACATATTAAAGGTCACAGATAAAGCAAAGAAGGATTTAAGGCTCTTTTTGCAACATACCATACTATACCATATCTCACGATCAGTAAATCTTGTTACAGTTACTGTTTTCTCAAGAAACACAACAGAGTAATTATTATTCCTTCCAGGAAGGATGACTGTGGTCTCAC